CAGCAACAGCCAAATGGAGGGACTGAACTAGAATGACATGTCATGAGCCCAGCAAATATTTTAGCAGAAATGGCTTGGCCAAAAGTTCCTGAAACCATTTACTTTCTTTTCATTGAGCTCATGCTATTAATTTTCTCATCAAACATTTGTTTCTGTAAGTATACAGTTAGCTGTGCTTTATATTGCAGATGTGACCTAGTCCTTATTAGCATCTGAAATTCATGATTTTTATTGTAGGGAAGAGAAAAGAAGGCAATCTCTTTGTTTTATTAAAGGATTTGCCCTCTTGCAGGCTCCAAAGAGTCTCATTGTCAATAATGATATAATAGTCAATAGTTTATGAAGCACTTAATCTCTTCCAAGAGCTTTGTTGAAATTAACTCATCACAGCCATGTGAGGTAGGTATTATTATGATTCCCATCTTAGAAATGACAAAACTAAACAGAGCTGTTAAATAATTTGCCAGTGTTTTTACACTGAGTGAATGGTGTAGTTGCCATTCATACCGCAGCACTCTGAGTCCTGCTCACAACCCTCTGCTGCAACTGAAGTAGGTCCTCCCTAGAAATAAATAAGTAAGTGCACACACATGTGCATTCGGCCATCTGCTGTAGGAACGGAAAGCCGGTCATTTGAATGATGTGCAGGACAGAGGAAGCCAATATGAACAGGGCAAAGCTGATCAACAATGGATACATGGACTCAATGGCACATCATAGAAACTGACATTGAGGGTCCAGTCCAAACACTACCATTGGAAAGGGGGTCGGGGCTGAAGAACATGAGCATCCCAGATTCTCTAGTGCTCAGTTCCTGGATCCGGCGAATCTATCATTGTGTGAGACAGGGCTCTGGTTCCAGGAATCAGAGCTGAAAATTCTGTGTGTTTATTTCATCTCTTCCCAATTGGCAGTGGCAACCTTTGGTGCCTGATGGTGGCCAGGACAGCAGTGGTATGGCAGGTACCAGTGGTAATGCCCAGTGTCCAACATCCATGGACATGGTGATTCTGGTGGCTGCACTGGGGCCTGGAGTTTGGCACCAACGATGATGCCAGTGGACACCCGTTGAGGCAGCAGTGGTAGCTCCCGGGCAGGCCCATCCCTGGCATGACTTTAGCAGTGGCTCTAGCTGCCTGACCACGCTCTGTGTCAACCTGATTTGGCCTGGTTCTCCAAGGTCCCTTCTGCAATGTGAGCTATCCAGTTTCCTACCAAATAAATCCTCTTTTGGTTTGAGTTAGTCAGAAACCTTTTGGCTTTTTGCACTCAAGAGCCCTTACTAAAGCTGGTCATGACCATGACTGGAGTTGGTGGGAGAGCAACTACAGGCACCTTAGCTGAGAGCACATTTATACCACCAGCTGTTGCTCCAGCCCTGATTCCCCACCACTAGCCTCCTTCTGAGCCCCTGAGTTACCATGTGTTGATTATAATTACCAATTACAGTGACCAGTTACCAATTGCAGCTCTGACCAACTTTAGCATTGTAGTCTGCTTGTTCCACACCAATAAATGGGCACCCTGGTTTTTTGTTTTGCTTTGTTTTGCTTTTTGGTGCTGGGGATCAAACCTAGGGCTTCACACATGCTAGGCCAAAACTCTATCACTGAACTGTACCCCTAGCCCTGCACCCTGTTTTATATAAGCAGCCTTGTATATGCCAGTTGATGAGTTTGGTTAAAATGAGTTTTTCCCTGAGAGATAGATATTCCCTCAGCATGTGAATAAATTAAGTCTTGAGTTGAATCTCAGGTAGATGCCCCCCATGGACAACTAGCTTGTGTGTGCAGTTACTTTTACCTGGGAACATCTCCTTCAGGTAATGGAAGAAAGAGGAGGGGTGAAGATCAAAAAGTTGTGGTTGGATTTCTAGTCCCACCTCTATGTCTATCCTCTGGCCACATCCTGACCTTATGGAACCTCTGTTTCCTCCCCTGCTAAAGAGTGACAATGGTCTGATGTTATTAGTCTGCTATAAGGATAAGGTGTAAAACCAAGCACAGCATCAGGTGCATGGTGGGTCCTCAGGAAATGCTAATCATCACAAGAAGAACAATCCAACAACAATAATAGTAATAATAAAAGCACCTGGTAACAAGCAGCAAACTGACTAGAAGCCAGTGCATGGGAGGGAAGACAAGGGGAGGCCTGCTTTGCAGCCTCACATTGAAGGAACCAACCTGGAACTATTCCTTCTAAGATCTGAGGCCTTCTCTGAGCAGCTCCTTCCAAAGACATGGTCGGGGGGGCCCCTCAAATGGGTGGCTATGCAAGTGCTGTTTGTTGAGAAAAGCTGCCTGCAAGATGGTCCTAAGCAAGGTGGTAAGGGGGCTCTGACTTGTTTGCTCTGTCTTCCTGCCTCAACCTCCCACTCAGACCCTTCAGCACTGGGTCTTTCACTACTCTGAACATGCAGCCAAACCTATTCTTCCTCACACAACTTCTTCCTTCATGGAAGCATCTCTGTTTCCAGCCAGGGCCTCCTTGTCCTCCTCATTTAAAGCCCTGGCACCTTATTTTCCACCAGCCCAAGGGACCAGTCTGTCAGGCCCCCCACACATTCAAGACCTTTCCCATTTCCGTGCTTCTGCAGCTCTGGTTTGGACTGGGTTAAACTGCCCCATCCTAAGCACTGTGGGTGTCGTTGGCCTCCCAAAGGCCTCTCTAAATTCCTCAGCCTTACCTTTTTTCTGTAGCTTCTTCTGACTCCAAATTTCTTCTTCCATTGTATTCCCAATTGCTTGTGTCCTCCCAAAATTCCTATGTTGAAATTCTAATTTCCAGTGCTTTAGAATATCACTATATTTATAGGTAGAATCCTAATGGGTAGGCCCTAGTCCAATATGACTGATGTACCATCAGAATAGATTAGGACACAGACACAGACACACAGACACACGCACACACACACACACACAGAAGAGCTCTGGAAGTCATGGGAAGTAGACAGCTGTCTGTGAGCCAAGGAGAGAGGCCTGAAGAGAAACCAGTGCTCCTGTTACCTTCATCTAGGACCTCCAGCCTCCAGAACTGTGAGGAAATAAGTGTCTGTTGTTTCAGCCACCCAGTCTGTAACATTTGTTCTGACAGCCTGAGTAAACTAACACAAGGTCTCTACTCAGAGTAGACCCAGCCTTGGAACTCGGCCCTCTTACCTCATCCACACTCTCACACAAACCCCAGTCACTCCAGGCATTTGTGTCTACCACAGAGTTGATTGGGAGAGTGGTTTGTGGAGAGAATTCAGCCACAGAAATGTACACAACTGCAAATTGGATGCTGCATATTCGTTCTCACCTCAGGGTTCCCATGTGCCTCTGGGAGGACCAGGATCCCACTGCCTTCCCCCTCTCCTCAGAAGCAAACCCCCAATCCTTCCTCTCTCTTAGGGCTCTCATTGCTTGTACACTAGTTGAAGACCTGCCTTTTCATCCCTAATCATCTCATCCAAGGTATTTTGCTTAATAGGATTTTCTGTATTTTAAAAATTCTCCTGTGATTTAGTGGGCAGAAACCAACATTCTTGTTTCTCATCCTTCCAAATCTTAACTATATTGAAATCTCATATTGAAAGAAATCTTTTAAAAGTACTTTCAAATTTTTCCCCTCATAATGAAATTCTTTCTCCAAACAATAGCTTACACAGAAACCCAAGATGTGAAACATAGTTTTAAAAACTAAGAAGACATTCACATAACATAAAAATAATCACTTTCAAGGGAGCAGTTCCGTAGAATTTAATACACTCACAGCATTGCCCAAACTCTACCTCTGTCTAAATCAAAAACACTTCCATCGCCAAAAAATCAAACTCTAAACTGATTAAGCACTTACTTTTCCCTTCCCTCAGCCTCTGACAACCACCAATCTGGTTCCTGGCTCTGCGGATTTGCCTACTCTAGTCTAGTATTTTACATAAATGAAATCACACAGTACATGACCTGGCTTTTTCACTTACATAGTGCTTCTGAGGTTCATTGGAGTTGTTGCATATATCAGCACTTCATTCCTTTTTATGGATGAATAATTCATTTTGTGTCTAGACTGTGTTGTGCTTAACCATTCAGCCTTTGGAATGTGTGCACTTCTTCTGCTCTGATGAGCCCGAAGTGGGTCACTGAGCTCCTCCTGCACATCTAGCATTTCTCAAACACCTCCGAGAAGCTAGATAAGGTTATCTGGTCTCCAGAGAGCCTTTGATGAAATGCTGTTTTGTTTTCCTGAGTACTCCTACCTACCAGGGCTTCTGCAGAAGCTTTCATTTAAATGAAAAGTTCTGGTGCTGTACACACACACATACACACACACACACACACACACACGCACACGCACACGCTCTACTGAGCAGGAGGGTCCTTTGGGTGTGTACCCATAGTCCTAAAATGTCCACAGAGAACTCCACCACCCAGCGGGCAGGCCAATCTCCTGTTAGTGATCTAGGCACGCCTGCTGCTTTTGATGACTTCAGCCACTGGAACGCAAGCCACACCTGGGTGAACACATTCTGCACACACTAACAAGTGCCAGACTGCCACATCATTGTATTTTCACAAGTTTTCTTTGTCTTTCCATAGACTTTTCCCAGGTGCATACAAGAAACCCTGTGAGCATTTGATTATTTTCTAGAAAGAGAGTTGTGATGCCCGCTCTGCCTCACAAAGGCAAGCCTGAGGTTCCTGCCACTGTATTCCAGGGCCTGGACAGTCATGGAGTTAGGTGCAGCCAATCAGCTGACAGGAGCTGCTTTAGTAGGGATAAGCCCTTTCTAAAAGGAGCCCTGCTGATGTAATAACAGGGAAAAATCCTCTGTGCAAAAGGCTTTGGGAGGCATGGGCTGGAAATGCAGATTCTATGTGAGCAGGAAACTTGTATAATCTCCACGGGCCATGTGCCAGGTATGAAGCACAGCTGGTTTGTGCCTGTGCCAGCGTGTTTGCCCAACTGGTTGAGGTGGGTCAGGCCCTTGGCTTAAACCTCACAGGCTTCTGGATGCAGGAGGAGAAAGGCTAATTAAAAAGCCTTTAAAGGCTTTTTGAAAAGCACACTTTCCCTGGGCCACAGACTCCGAGGTCCAGAGCGTCCCCAAAGGTGAGTAGATGGCAGAGTTGTGGGTGCTTTCCTCACCGGCCTGGGGAAAGCTGAGCAGTGGGAGTTGCAGAGTCCCTGGGAGAGGATTGAGGTGCAGCCAGGCCTTCCCTTTGTGAAGCTGAAAGTTGCACTTCACCAGAAGCTGTTTTGCTGCTCTCTTTCGTGTGTTAATAAACTAACTCAGATGCCTTGATTTTTAATAAAATTATTGAATTTATTTGGTGAATGAGTATCAAAATTATATATATTAATATTATACGGGGCCATATATAATTATGATTTCATATGGTTCAACCCAACCTGCTAGAAACAAGGCAGTTAATAATTAACAAAGACATAATGATGGTAACACTCAATGGTCTTTTTTTTGGGGGGTGGCACTGGGGATTGAACTCAGGGCCTTGTGCATGCTAGGCAAGTGCCCTACCACTGAGCTCCAGCTCCAGCCTTTTGAAAGCTTTAAATTTTACTTTGGGATAGAGTTTCATTAAATTGCCTGGACTCACCTCATGCTTCTGATCCTCACGCCTTAGTGTCTTAAGTCACTGTGATTATAGATGCCCAGCTTCAATATTATTTCCTTATGTTCAGTCATCTTCCAAATGAAGAGAAAAAATAGACTGAAGTGATCGATTTCACATGAGATTGCGCATGCGTGTGTGTGTCCCCACAGGAAATTATAAGAAAGGAATAGTATCGTTTTAGTTAAAGAGTTAGGAATGAGAATTGAGCACAGAGGTAACCTTATTTACAATTTTCTCTCTCTGAAGGCATTTTAATTGGAACTGCTCACAGTACTTAGGTGTTATATTTTAGTGATTATTCATTTCACCTAGCTTGAACTGGGTGAACGCCATCAATGTTGGTTGAATAAATAGCATGTTTTCTGCAGAAACACTGTGATGAAAGCTCTATTTCCTGTGTACTAAATCATGACTTAAAAGGAAGGAGGCAGGCGGGTAGAGTACTTGCTGGGCACACAGAAGGCCCTGGGTTCAATCCCCAGTACCTGAAAGAGAGAAGGAGAAGGAGGAGAGAGAGACAGAGACGGGAGTGGGGAGACACAGAGAGAGTTCTATTTGTAGATTTTGATCTCCAAAAGTGGGATCCTTGGGAGGCCCCTTAACTTCTCTAGCCTCAGTTTCCCCACTGGACTGGTAACCTCTATGGTCCCAGCTCTAAAACATTCTAACTTTTCAAGTTTTCTATAACTGAGTGGCTGCATCTAGAAAGAGTAAAGGTAACAACATCTCAGTCCTGCTTGCTTTAGTGTCTCATGAACTCAGGGTCTCACGAACTCAGCAAAACAGTCAGGCACCTCCATGAGTGACACGAGAAAACATCCTAATTATGATAATGGCTAATGACCCAAGCGAGCCCGGTGAAACAATCCTGGCTGTCTTGTCAGCCTGACGGGATTGACAGGATGATCCGTTCCTAGTCTTGCCCCAACTACCTATTGCCTCAGCAAGAAAACCACTCTGCTTCCACAGAAACATGGGCAGAAATGAAACTGATTTGCCACAATGAGTGTTTAGAATAGAAACTATGAAAACCATATGTTATTGAAGAGAAGTGAATTTCACACCTCCTAATGTTTGGCACTGAGCTTTGCTGTCACCAACAGCAAGAAACCGGCCACGATGACTTTCCAAGCTGAATATAAGTAGAAGCAGAAAATACCCCAATGAGCAGCGCTCCTCCAGCTGCTGGCAAATGGACTCTTTCGTCACTTGTTAGTATATATACACGTGTGTGTGTGCCAGCCTGAACTCAGACTCAGCAACAAACTTGCCTTTCAGAAGAGTCTGCCAAGCAAGCCCAGGGTGGGGAATGAAAACACCAGCCCATGTTGGGAGACAAGTCTGGGTGGCATTCTG